ATGTTTTCCTCTAAGAGTTTGATAGTGTCTGGCCTTACATTTAGGTCTTTAATCCACTTTGAGTTTTTTGTTGTATACAGTGTTAGGGAGTGTTCTAATTTCATTCTTTTACATGTAACTGTCCAGTTTTCCCAGCACCACTTATTGAAGAGGCTGTCTTTTCTCCATTGTATATTCTTGCCTCCTTTATCAAAGATAAGATGACCATATGTGTGTGGGTTTATCTCTGGGCTTTCTATCCTGTTCCACTGATTTTTATTTCTGTTTTTGTGCCAGTACCAACCATACTGTCTTGATTGTGTTTTCATTGTCATTTGTCTCTAGGTATTTTTTGATTTCCTCTTTGATTTCTTCAGTAATCTCTTGGTTATTTAGTAGCGTATTGTTTAGCCTCCATGTGCTTGTATTTTTTACGGTTTTATTTTCCTGTAATTGATATCTAGTCTCATAGTGCTGTGGCCAGAAAAGATACTTGATACAATTTCAATTTTCTTAAATTTACCAAGGCTTGATTTGTGACCCAAGATATGATCTATCCTGGAGAATGTTCCATGAGCACTTGAGAAGAAAGTGTATTCTGTTGTTTTGGGATTAAACGTCTTATAAATATCAATTAAGTCCATCTTGTTTAATGTGTCATTTAAAGCTTGTGCTTCCTTATATATTTTCATTTTGGATGATCATTGGTGAAAGTGAGGTGTTAACGTCCCCTACTGTGATTGTGTTACTGTCGATTTCCCCTTTTATGGCTGTTAGCATTTGCCTTATGTATTGAGGTGCTCCTATGTTGGATGCATAAATATTTACAATTGTTATATCTTCATCTTGCACTGATCCCTTTATCATTACGTAGTGTCCTTCTTCATCTCTTGTAATAATCTTTATTTTAAAGTCTATTTTGTCTGATATGAGAATTGCTACTCCTGCTTTCTTCTGATTTCCATTTGCATGGAACATCTTTTTCCATCCCCTCATTTTCAGTCTGTATGTGTCCCTAGGTCTGAACTGGGTCTCTTGTAGACAGCATATATATGGTTCTTGTTTCTGTACCCATTCAACCAGTCTATGTCTTTTGATTGGAGCATTTAATTCATTTACTTTTAAAGTAATTATTGACATGTATGTTCCTTTTTCTTCTATTGTGTTTGTTGCCTAGAGAAGTTCCTTTAGCATTTGTTGTAAAGCTCGTTTGGTGGTGCTGAATTCTCTTAACTTGTGCTGTCTGTAAAGGTTTTAATTTCTCCATGGAATCTGAGTGAGATCCTTGCTGGGTAGAGTAATCTTGGTTGTAGGTTATTCCCTCTCATCACTTTAAATATGTCCAGCCACTCCCTTCTGGCTTGCAGAGTTTCTGCTGAAAGATCAGCTGTTAACCTTATGGGGATCCCCTTGTATGTTATTTGTTGCTTTTCCCTTGCTGCTTTTAATATTTTTTCTTTGTATTTAATTTTTGATAGTTTGATTAATATGTGTCGTGGCATGTTTCTCCTTGGATTTATCCTGTATGGGGCTCTCTGTGCTTCCTGGACTTGATTGACTATTTCCTTTCCCATGTTAGGGAAGGGAAGTTTTCAACTATAATCTCTTCAAATATTTTCTCAGACCCTTTCTTTTTCTCTTCTTCTCCTGGGACCCCTAAATTCGAATGTTTGTGTGCTTAATGTTGTCCCAGAGGTCTCTGAGACTGTCCTCAATTCTTTCCATGCTTTTTTCTTTATTCTGCTCTGCGATAGTTATTTCCACTATTTTATCTTCCAGGTCACTTATCCATGCTTCTGCCTCAGTTATTCTGCTATTGATTCCTTCTAGAGAATTTTTAATTTCAGTTGTTGTGTTGTTCATCATTGTTTGTTTGCACTTTAATTCTTCTATGTCCTCGTTAAACGTTTCTTGTATTTCCTCCATTCTATTTCCAAGATTTTGGATCATCTTCACTATCATTACTCTGAATTCTTTTTCAGGTAGACTGACTATTTCCTCTTCATTTGTTTGGTCTGGTGGGTTTTTACTTTGCTCCTTCATCTGCTGCATATTTCTCTGTCTTCTCATTTTGTTTAACTTACTGTGTTTGGGGTCTCTTTTTTGCAGGCTGCAGGTTCATAGTTCCCATTGTTTTTGGTGTCTGCCCCCAGTGCATGAGGCTGGTTCACTGGCTTGTGTAGGCTTCCTGGTGGAGGGGACTGGTGCCTGTGTTCTGGTGGGTGGGGCTGGATCTTGTCTTTCTGGTGGGCAGGGCTGCATCCGGTGGTGTGTTTTGGGGTGTCTGAGAACTTAGTATGATTTTAGGCATTCTCTCTGCTAATGGGTGGGGTTGTGTTCCTGTCTTGCTAGTTGATTGGCATGGGGCATCTAGCACTGGAGATTGCTGGCCGTTGGGTGGAGCTGGGTCTTAGCATTGAGATGGAGGTCTCTGGGAGAGCTCTCGCTGATTGACATTACATGGGGCCAGGAGGACTCTGGTGATCCAGAGTCCTGAACTTGGCTCTGCCACCTCAGAGGCTGAGGTCTGACACCCAGCCAGAGCACCACGACCCTGTCAGCCACAGAGCAGTGAGTGTGGCAGTCTCCATTATGAAGTCAGATTATGAGGGTCTACAATAGCCATTCAGCTAGAACAGGCTGACTTGGTAGCAATTTGTCTACGAGGTTGTCTCCAGCAGCCGGTGGCTAAAAGAGTAGGTCTCCGCATGTGCTGCCAGAATGTTAAACGTTTGTATAGCAGTGTTCACTGGGTTCAGTCATGGATTTGGTACAGATCGTCTCAAGAACACCTTACCCTTATAAGGCTGTGTGCTTGAATCAGCTCCTACGCCTGAGAGTCTACAAGCTGCAGGAAGACGAGACCACCCGGGGCAGCCTGCAAGCCATGATTCTTGCCACGAACCCTGCTGCTGCCATCGTGGAATCCAGCTTCCCCCGCTGTTGCTGGAAGAAGGCAGGAAAGGCTGCCCCAAGATGGCAGACATGTTGGCACCATGCCTGATTTCACTTTTTACATTTAAAACTTTGATTCATTAGATATTTATCCTTCTGTAAGGTGTGAAATACAATTTTATTCTTGTCTCAGATTTGTCTCCTACATCTTTCCCCATCTTGCTCACTGTGCTCCAGCCACTCTGACCTTTTGGCCAATTCACCAAGTTCACTCCCTACACAGTCTTTTTGCAGTTGCTTTTCTTTTTTTGTGATATTCTGCCTTTGGATCTTCCCAAGACATTCTAGTCTTAAACGTGTCTTCCTCAGAGAGGAATAACATAAAAAGTACTACCATGACATTGAACTGTCTTGAAATCTACCTATTTATGTTAATTCTGTTTGTCTCTGCTATTGTCAATTATGTTTTTCCTATTGCTTAATTCCACAAGGCAGCCATTTTAAGCTTATTGGTAAATTCATTTTGGGTAAAATGGGAGACAGGGATTTGGGGACAATCCTGCTGCTCTGCCTCTAGGATAGAACATTAATGGAAAGGCATTAAAGGATCAGATTGATTTGCCCTTTTTCTATAAATACACTTCTCCATAGGTGCAAGATTACCACACCCTGGATTGAACATTAATCTTCAACATGAGATTTGAGAGTTTGTGAAATTATCAGAATTGAAGATGTTTTAGATACTAATTATTCATAAAAAGGTATGAGTAGCTTGATCTCACAGGATATTTTATATATAACAAAAACTGAATGACTGATCTTACAGCATTACAGTTAGATAGCACGAATATCTTACACATTTTAGGTAATCTAATATTTTAGACAAAGATATTCTGACTTTGCATTGAACAAGAATTGACTTTGACCTATTCCCAGCCTCTTCGAAGGCCCTCACTCCTCCAAAAAAGTATTTAGGATTTTTGTATGAGCAATTGAGAACTGGGAGGGAACATCATACCATCGATTCCAACACCATCTTTATACAAATAGGGAAAGTAATAGGAGGGCAAAAAACCGGAACCCATTCAGAATTCATCTATGACATCATACTGACTCAAAGAGTCATCAGTAGGTGTTAACATTGTTAATCCGGTTAATTGAATTAACAGAAGGTGTGGGAGGCGAGCCCTTAGATTTGTTTTCCATTAAATGGATTAAAATGGATGGTAATCCTCATTCTTTTAAAGGTGAATTTCAATTAGTTTATTACAGGTGTGACTATGAGGCCTTCCCAATTAAGGCTCCTCTCCTACCGGAAATGGGTCATTTAGCATTCCACTTTCAAGAGAGTACGTCCCATAAAATACCATCAAACTCTGTTGAGAAGAGTCTTTTTTTAAAAATTAATTTAAACAGTTTAGACTTTATGAACGAGCCCATGTTCATTTGCGTGTTCAATTTCCCAACTGCAAAACGTTACTGAGCATTTTACGACCGTGTCACACAATCCTCCCTGCAGCTGGGCGAGAAAAACAGGAGTCGGTTTAGGAACGGGAGGCCTGTGGGAGTCAACGTCGCGCTTTGCGCAGGGAAGCCGCAGGGCGAGTCCGGCTGGAGTTAGCCATTTCCTTTCTTCCCCCGATACTTCGGGCTGCGGGGGTGCTGGCCGGGCGTACACCGAGGCTGGTCCCTGCGTCCCTCTACCCTTTCCCCGCATCCGCCTTGACTAACCAGCTGACAACCCCAACTCTCTGAAAGCGAGAGCGGGAGGCGACCGGCGCCATAGCCAGATCCGTCCCAGGCACATCTCCGACGCTCGCCTTTGGGCGAGCCCCAAACGCGCCTCTGGTTTCCAGGTGCGAATAGGAAGCTTCTCCGGAAACCCCAGACGCCTCCCCTTTAGGAAGGGCGCAGACGGCGTCTCTGTTTCCAAGGAAACCGGTCTTGCCATGACGTCACTTCCGCTGACCTGTCTGGACTCCAGGCTGTTGGGAGGAAAAGAGGAAAACTGAGCCACAGCCACGACGGTGGATGTGAGCGTCTCCTGTCTGCGCATGCGCCCGCTCAGCGGCCTGCTTCTATTTATGTGGGGGATCCAACATGGCGGCCGCAACGATCCTGGCGATGGCGGTGGAGCCCATCAGAACATAGTGGCGGGGAAGGGGGGACAGTCCGCACTCACGGTGGCGTCGGCGGCGACGGCTGAGGGTGGTGGAGGGAAGAAAAGCGACGGAGAGCAAAAGGAAGGGCAGGCAGGCAAACAACTCGGCGTAGAACCGAGCGCTGGCTCGAGCGAAGGCAGAGGGCCAGAACAGTGGGGATGGCGGAGCCACGCAGAGTAGCGTTTATTAGCCTGTCACCGGTGAGGCGGCGCGAGGCCGAGTTCCCGGGGGCCGAACGCGAGCCCGACTACCCTCGCGAGCCCCCCCGACTGGAGCCGCAGCCGTACCGCGAGCCGGCCCGGGCGGAGCAGTCGGCCCCGCGGGAGGTTGCCCCCCGGTCGGACGCGCAGCCCCCGCCGCGGGAGAAGCCGCTCCCCCAGCGCGAGGTCAGCCGCGCCGAGCCGCCCATGTCGCTGCAGCGCGAGCCCCCTAGGCCCGAGCCGCCGCCGCCGCCGCCGCTCCCGCAGTTGCACTTGCAGCCGCCTCCGCCGCGGGAGTCGGCTTCCCGGGCCGAGCCGCAGCAGAGGCCGTCGAAGGAGACAGTGCGCCTGGAGCTGGTGCTCAAGGATCCCACCGACGAGAGCTGCGTGGAGTTCAGCTACCCGGAGCTGTTGCTGTGCGGAGAACAACGGGTACAGAAGATCCCTCCCTCATCCCCTAGACCCCGGGAGCCTCAGGACCCGTCCGCCTCCCCCAGTGGTTTGCCCCTTCCGAAGCCCACCTTGCGTGTCTCGGGTTGCCCCAGAGGGTGGCTGGAGGGGGCAGGGGCCGAGCGGGTGGACGGGCGGTTGGTGCTGCTTTCCTCTGGTCCCCAGTGTTGGCCGAGGCTCCCACCCGGCTCCACTAACCCCCCCCTCGCCACCGCCATCGTACGCCCGCTCCAAACGCTGTTCCAAGCCGGCTTCCCTCTGCACCTTTCGAAACCTCAGGTTTCCTCTCGGCTTCCCACAAAAAATCTGGGGGCCCTGCACGTTGCGTTGTTGGGTTTTGCTTGCGGAGCTCCAGTTGGGGGACACGCCCCCCAGTCTGAAGCAGAGAGATTGTGTAACCTCTCCAGTATCATCCTTACCTTCATCGCTGTTGTGCTGGGTGCTGAGATGTGCTTCTGAGCGTGGGGTATTTATCTTAATTGAAAGGGGATTTAAAAGTAATCTAAACATTTTCAGAGTAAGGATTCCACTTTAGGATTGGAGGTTACGTGGGTTAGTTATCTGGTTCCTTATTTTTCTCTCTCGTGTTGATATTGGTAAACCTTTTTAGCTTTGTTTACTCTAGTGTTCATACAATAATTGAATGGGAGGGTGTCTCGTATTTGGTGCCTACCATCATATCCTTGTTTGAGTACATATCATTAGTTTATTGGTCCTACTTGGAGGATATTGCACTTGGCCATTGTAATTTTTGAAGAGTGATGAAAAAAAACTTAGCTTTGAATTTCTAAAAACTTTATTGAAAATATATAGGTATGCCTTTGGTGGAACTGGTGAACAATGGAGATAGGAGAGAGGTTCGTTGATAACTAATTTTTATTGTTGGTTGGTGATGTTCAGAAGTAAACTAGAAAGGGAAATGGTAGAGTAACAATAATAAGAGAACAGTTTCCTCTGTTGTTTAGAGACTATGCTCTTTATTAGGTTTTGCTTTAGCACAGGTCTAATGGACTCCAGAAGTCACTTGTTTTATTTTCATCTTCAATTATCTTTATAGTTGAAATGAATACCTTAGTTTAAAAATATCATACTAAACAACGTCACTAGATTTTGTTTATTGTAAGGCCAACTAATCTTTTGATCATTATTTACAAATACTGCTGTGTGGTCAAACCAAAATGAATTGTTAAGGATAGAGATCATTTTGGTCATTTCCACATAACATTTTGTGCTTTAGATTCACTTTAGTGCCCCTGTCATTTATAAAGTGATGCCATTTTTTTCCCCCAAAGATTTTTGCAAATACTGGATTGGAGCATTTTTCAAAAAATTGTACTATGTTTGCTCTTCTAATCTATGTAAACTTGCAGTTTTACTTCCTAATCTACATCATAAGTTACAGGTGATTATATTTGGGAAAAATACATAGTAATGGCTAACATTTACTGATTTCTTACAATGTGCTAGACACAGTTCTAAGCGTAGTACATGGCTTGTGGAATTTAGTCCAGTAGAGCTCCATGAGACAGACACATTTATCCACATTTTGCAAATAAGGAGGCTGGTGTACAAAGTGCTCATATGTGTCTTATTAATACTTTTTTCCATGCTAGTACCAATTCTTAGTAAAGCAGAATTCTTACAATTAACTCATATAGTTTAAATTTAGAAAGTCCTGCCGAAATGAACTGAAATAAGAGTTATAGTAGATATACAAAGACCTCTGTTATGACCCTCTTTATGCTGTAATATTGATACTATGATAAACTAATAATAGATACGTATCTTTTAATTATAAGTATAAAGTTAATTTTGATACCCTATCGTATTAACTTGATAATATCAGAATTAATAGTTTCATGTAATAGGAGAAAGGTGAATAATTCAGTTTAATTTTTCTGTTTACACTATCAATTTGGGGTATTTTAGTCCAGATTTCTTGTACATTCAGCCATATATCATTTGTCATATTCCACTGAACCAAAATATCCATTGCTTATACAGTGTACCTTTGCAACAAAGATTTGCCAGATTTTCCTATGGTTACTCCCAGTGAACATATTTATTGCATAAGAAAGTGTAGAAAACACCTTTCTAAATGAAGTTGTCACATTTCCATGAAAGGAAATCCTAGGAAGAGAAACCATCAAAAAGCAAAATGTAAGCAATAGAATTGATCTGCAAAGTGGTGATTCCCAAATTTGCCCTCAGGAGGAGTCCAGTTTATTTTTAGTGATGTTGTAATATTTTCAAAATAGTTTTAATTTTAAGTTATTGTAATTGAACGACGTACTATGTAGCAGGGTTAGAGTAGAAAGGGGAGGAAAAGAGATCTTGTAAAATTAAAAGAAGAAAAGTTTCTAAGATTTTGAAATAGCCATCTATCACCCAATAAGATTTTACTTGATAGGTGTTAAGTATAAAAAAATCTGTTACATGTGAATACCGTCTGTACTAGGGTGAATTTAAATCATCCCCCTTTGTAAATACGAAATGAACAGTAAAACCCCAATTAACCTAATGCAGTTAGAAATTTTTCTAAACTTCTTATTAATACGGAAAAACAATTAAATGAGCGTGTGTTGGCAAAATGTGGAAAACAAAACCTCGTCTAGGTTGTCAGGACACAGGTTAGCTAAACCCTTAACCTTGTTATCTATAGAGTATTGATCATTGATTGAGGCTGAGACATTGCAATCATCTCTATCCTGAAAGATTAATTTGTTCACCATTTCTGGCTAAGGGGAATTGATACACAAGAAATTCTTTTTTAACTCTTAGTAAACCAGAAAATCACTTAACCAGAAAACATCTTCCTATAAACATGGTTAATTGAACATTCAGTATAGAAAGAAAATAAATGATTATAGTGTTAATGTGATTATATTGTTACCAGAGAATTCTATGATATTCCATTGCTTGTCACACTGCATGTTTCGGATAACATATACGAAAGCTCTCCTGAAAATGACGTTAATGAGTTAACATCAAGAGACAGAATCATTGGGTCACTTTTGCCTGTGGGTGGTTGGTAATTTTGATATTTACTAATTGTCAGATCTTTTCACCTGAAAAACGTAAAGCTTACTTAGAGCCTTGATTGTGGATAAGCGTTACTTCTTAACTGTGAAAGAAAGGTGACTCAGTTTTCTTAAGTTTATTTTTATAAACTAGCAAGGGTAAATAAGAGATTTACTTTTGCTGCCTATATAAAGTCTACATAAAATAGTTCAGAATGGTGTATAAGGTGATTCTTATTAAAAATATATATTCGTGTATTTATATTTGCACATATAAAATGGGTCAGACCAGTAGTAAGACCTAGTATTTGGATTTCATAGTGACATGAAGGAAACTGTTTATAATGGCAAGCAAGTCATGGTGGTTGTTTACTCTGCTTAACTTTAGTCTCAAGTTAAGGCTATGCCCTGAATATGCCTAGTACTTCTTATTTCATCACCAGTCTATTTCTGCTAGTTCGTTTCCTTTCAGGTCATATTTATATTTTCCATTGGTAACTCCTATTGGAATAAAAGATTCTATAAATATATTACTTATTATAATAGATAATTTAAAAAATTGATTCAAAAATTCCTTTAAGCTTTAAGATGTATCCTTTAATTCTAATGCCCTAGGTATGATGAATTGTTTTGTATTCATTATGTCCATATTTTTCTGTCATATTTTTAGATTAATCATGTCTCAGACTTAATAGCCAGGATCATGTATCTCAGTTTCAAACTGCAAATCTTCATCCCTTCTGCATTTTTTCTTGCCCTTCAGGGCAAATCTGTATCTAATATTTCAGCTGTGATATATTTTCATTTTTAATTACTGCTTGAAGATGCTACATCAGTAATAGCATCTAGCCTTTTTTTTAAATGGACTTCTTAGTTGTTCATAATTAGATGAAAATAACATTTTTATCCACATGTAGCTCCTTGTTTTGGGTTTTTTGTATATTGAAATATATATATGTGTGTGTGTATATATGTATATCTATGAAATGTGTCTGTGAAAATAGTGAAGGATGTGATGTATCTTTTTGTTTGTTTTGGTCAATAGATGGCAAATGTGGGATCCTAGCTCTGTGTCTGTGTTTGTTTTTTTTAATTTATTTTTTATAAATGTATTTATTTTATTTATTTATTTTTGACTGCGTTGGGTCTTCGTTGCAGCGCGCGGTCTTTCTCTAGTTGTGGCGAGCAGGGGCTACTCTTCATTGCGGTGTGTGGGCTTCTCATTGCGGTGGCTTCTCTTGTTGTAGAGCATGGGCTCTAGGTGCATGGGCTTCAGTAGTTGTGGCACACAGGCTCAGTAGTTGTGGCTTGCAGGCTCTAGAGCGCAGGCTCAGGAGTTATGGCGCACGGGCTTAGTTGCTCCACGGCATGTGGGATCTCCCCGGACCAGGGCTTGAACCCGTGTCCCCTGCATTGGCAGGTGGATTCTTAACCACTTTGCCACCAGGGGAGCCTTGTTTGTGTGTGTTTTAAACCATGCATTATAGTAGATTTTCACTCTCCTTGCTAGAAAGAAGCTATGATAATATAATCTGTTTGTAGCAATTGAACTTTTGTGCTTCGTTTACAAGTCGTATGTATTTTCTGAATGGATTTTCATTGACAGGATGTAGGTGATACAGAGGTGGTCAATGCTAGGCCTCAGCAAAAAGCTGTAGCAGCTACAGATACTCCAGTGCTAACTCAGGGCAGATGATTAAATGTTGATTGTAATAACCTAGATTCCAATAACCTTTTAGAAGCATTGTCTGACCAAAGTGGTTAATCTTTGTTGGGAAGATCTCAAACTAGAGTTATAGGTGGGATTTTCATGTTTACCTAATTTTCTTGGGTTCTTTGGCCTTTTTATTTTTGATGGGGTAACCATAGATCATTTTGTGGGTGACGACAGTTTGAATTGTTGAGTTCTTAACCACCAAAAAACTTTAGAATGTGTAAGAGTTCATTAAAACTGCAAATATTTTTGCTATAAACCAACATTTCATTCTATTTCCTTTTTTTTTTACTGTTGAATTTTTTGTTTTCTAATTTTAAAAAAATTTAATTTTTTAAATGAAGTGTAGTTGATTTACAGTGTTGTATTAGTTTCCTTTTTAGTGACTTTTTTATTAAAAATTTTTTTCAATTTATTTATTTATTTTTGGCTGTGTTGGGTCTTCGTTGCTGCGCGCGGGCTTTCTCTAGTTGCGGCGAGTGGGGACTGCTCTTTGTTGCGGTGTGCAGGCTTCTCATTGCAGTGGCTTCTCTTGTTGCAGAGCACGGGATCTAGGCGTGGGGGCTTCAGTAGTTGTGGCACGCAGGCTCAGTAGTTGTGGCTCACGGGCTCTAGAGCACAGGCTCAGTAATTGTGGCGCACGGGCTTAGTTGCTCCGCAGCATGTGGAATCTTCCCGGATCAGGGCTCGAACCCATGTCGCTTGCATTGGCAGGTGGATTCTTAACCACTGTGCCACCAGGGAAGTCCCTTTTTAGTTACTTTTTTCTTTTTTTTTTTTTTTTGTGGTACGTGCGCCTCTCACTGCCGTGGCCTCTCCCGTTGCGGAGCACAGGCTCTGGATGCGCAGGCCCAGCGGCCATGGCTCACGGGCCCAGCCGCTCCGCAGCACGTGGGGTCCTCCCGGACCGGGACACGAACCCGCGTCCCCTGCATCGGCAGGCGGACTCTCAACCACTGCGCCACCAGGGAAGCCCTTTAGTTACTTTTTAATGCTTCTAACTTTGTTAATATTTGGAAAAATTGACTCATGTTTTAAATTTAGATATATTCAACTCTGGTTGAAGTAATACTAATATTTCTATTTCTTTTACCATTCACTTTGAAGCAGAAGAAGCCCATTTACATGGAAGACCCGTTCAATGATGATCATCAAGAGAGGCAAGAAGTGGAAATGTTGGCTAAGAAGTTTGAAATGAAATATGTAAGTATAATAAACTTTTCACATAGGTAATTTTATCCTGTTGGCCTATTTTTTTTTTCTGTGACAGTTTGGGAGGGCTGATAGCATCCATTGCTCACATTATCTTGTTCTAACAGATAGAACCCCAATAAATGGTTAGCTGGTCCTATAAAGATTCTGATAGGTTTGTGATGGCTGTAATAGTAGCTGTCATTTATTGTACTCCTTCTAGAGTTCAGGCAGTTTGCTTATCATCAATATCTCCAATCCTTATAACAGCACTCCAAGGTAAGTAATATGGACCACATTTTACAGATGAAGGAACAGGCTCTGAGCTTAAGGTTGAATAACTGATCCAAGGTCACACAATGGCAAGAATGAGGCTGCGTGTCCAGGTCTGTCTAGCTCTAATCCTTTGCTCTTTCCACTGCCATTGAGAACACTTTTAATTCCTTTGGTGTAGTAGTTCTCAAGCCTTCCTGCCTCTTAAGAGTTTAAGAGAATGCATGTGTGTACTTCTAGGCCACTGGGTTCAGGATCAATCAGAAGCAGCATGAAATTTCTTTATAAGTATCTTGTCTACCTTAAAATTCATGTGCATTTTATATTCTTTGCCACAGTAGATTGGTGTTTGTTTTAATATAAAAATAAATTTGAATTACCTGATTGTAAAGTTGCTTAATGTTATTCTCAATTTTTCTAGTATAATTGACTTTGTTGGAAGATTCCCCCCTATCCCCTCCCCATTTTTATCTTATGGCTTTAACTACCCTTTGTCTCTGCTAAAACATGACCCAGGAGAAGCAAGACCTTACCCTTTGTGGTTCCCCTGTGAGCATTGAAAAGTATCTCACAGAGATAGGATATCAGCTCACACTAGCTCTGTCATTCATGTTATCTTCAAAATGCAGCTACGGTCTTGGTGGACACTTGTTGGCTCTTTGCGGTAGTGAAGAAACAGTTTGGGGGATGGAGAAAATACATGAGAATATTTTGAAATGTGGGTCAGGTTCTAGGCCATACTTTGCCAGCTACTAGTTGTGTCCATTGGTGAGGTTATTTAACCTCTTTGGGCCATAGTTTTCTTATCTGTAAATTGAGATGTTCAGGTTTTTCACAGCCCCTTGTGGCTCTGTATTCTGTGGCTGTATAATATCTTTAGGGGTGGACTAATGGGTGTTTCCATGGAAGAAATAGCCAAAGTTGTTACATTTGTAGTGTTAATTATAATACAGTGTTCTCAGATTATAAATCCTGAAATAACTGTCTAAACTTTTTATACAGATTAATACATTGGTTAAATTTAATGTTTTAACCAGGTAGTACATTTACATGGTTCAAATTCAAAAATGAAAAAAAATATAGAGTGAAAAATCTTCCTTTTATTCTACTGTCCACCCACCTTATTTCACTTCCTAGAGGCAAGTAATATTCTTGGGTGTCCTTCCAGAGATATTTTATGTGTATCTCTCTATATACATTATTCCTCCCCCTACCCCGCACCCCTTTTTACACATGTTACAGAATGCATTACATGGTTCTGCTCTTTGCTTTTTTCATTTACTATATCTTGGAGATTTTTTTCATATCAGGACAAAGAGAGCTTTCTCTCTCTCATTTTTAAAGCTACATGGTATTCCACTGTATGGACATATCACCGCTTATTTAACTAGTCCCGACATAATTTCAGTTGTTTCCAAAAATTTACCCTTCTAATAGTACTGCAGTAAATTACTTAGTAGCATGCCATTTCATACATTTTCAAGTTTATCTTCAGACCAGATTCCTAGAAGGGGAATTTTTAGGTCAAAAGATTTATGCATTTATAGTTTTGGTATATACAGTATTATCAAATTACCAGTTTCTACTCCCTCCAACACTATATTAGAGTGCCTTTTTTCCCCATGGGTTATAACACCAAGGATTAGATTGCCCTTTGCAAGTGGAAAATTCCTAGCATATCCTGTAAGTAATGTACCTCACAGTTAGCATTAAATCTTATTGGGAAGCTTTTGGATAGTTCTTGGCATAGAAAAACCAATGTTCTGAAGAAGTTGGTTGATGTGTAAAGTTGTTTCAAATAACTAGGATATATACAAGCACTGTCATTGTGCAGGGATAAAATGTTATTCTTGTTATATTGGGCTGTATTTCTTCTCTAGATTTTTATTTTGGCTACTGACTCTCTTATTTCCATTCTAAGTAGAGATTTAAAATGTCCTACCTCATGAAGGCTTTATGTGCATAAACCTAAAAGCATGCCATGAATATTATATCCATGAATGTTAAATATGCATATTATAACAAATTATTTGGAACGTTTTAAGAAAATCATCAGGCTAAAAGTGACCTGGGAGAAGATATCTTGCCAGCTCTAGGCTCTAGGCTTCACAAAAGATCACTCTTAAACAACAAAGATTTTTATTGGTGTTCAGGCATATCATATACAGACATCTATATGTATATTTATACATATATGTTGTATATTTATTTATACAAATACTATATATATATTTTTTAAGTAAAAGAAAATCTTTTAGATATTTGCAAAATATTAACCCACCAAAGTTAGATTTCTCTTTTTGCAGATGACAAAAAGATGACTTAGTTCTTTGAGGTTTATAAAACACAGATAAAACTTGTATCCCTAGCTACCTTTTCTTCTTACTTTTTTTCCCTTCATAATATAACTTAGATGTCCTTGTCATTATTTCTTTTTTTTTAATTTTATTTACATTTTATTTATTTTTTGGCTGCGTTGGGTCTTCATTGCTGCGTGCGGGTGAGCAGGGGCTACTCTTCATTGTGGTGCGCAGGCTTCTCATTGCGGTGGCTTCTCTTGTTGCCGAGCATGGGCTCTAGGCTCACAGGCTTCAGTAGTTGTGGCACGCGGGCTCTAGAGCACAGGCTCCATAGTTGTGGCGCACGGGCTTAGTTGCTCCATGGCATGTGGGATCTTCCTGGAACAGGGCTCGAACCCGTGTCCCCTGCATTGGCAGGCAGATTCTTAACCACTGTGCCACCAGGGAAGCCCCCCTTGTCATTATTTCTGAAAATCGCTTAAGGTTACTTCTAGCCCTTTGTTTCTTGGAACGAGAGATGGAGTTATTTGTTAAATTTTGTATATAAATAATAAAATATTTGAGCATTTTTGTTGGACATACAAAGAGACATGGTATTTGCCGCCTCCTGGAGAAACTTTCAAAATCATTGGGAAGACAAAACATACATATGACACACAAATTCAGGGCCAAGCAGTGGCCTATGGAAATGAATGACTCTCCTTTGGGGACCTGAAAGTGAGTAGAAGTCCCATTCTTGAAATTGGAAGGAATTTTGGAGACTTGAATGGATACTTTCAACCTCCTTTCTACCCTTTGTAGGCTAGCAATGGATGAGATGCACCAGCAGCAATATATTGTAGTGGAAGGAGCCCAGGATTATGAGTTAATGCAGCTAGATTCTGATCCTCTCTTTGCCATAACTAGCTAGGTGACCTTAGTGAAGGCTCTTGGTTTTTTTATGCTTTAGTATGTGTGAGGGGAAAATAAGGTCTGCTTAGTCAACTTTATAGCACAAGGGTTTTGTCAAAATAAGATGAAAAATAGATTATTAGTGTTTGAAATATTTAAAGTGCTATCTAAATGTGAAATGCTGTTCAGTCACTTAAATATATCATTCTTTTTTTTCTTTTCTGAAAAATAATTTATTTAAAGAGGTAGCAAGTAACTGATTAATTCTGCAAAAGAATAGACATTAAAACACCTAATATTTTTCTCTCCCTTCCAGGCAGCCAGATGTGTGTGTGTGTGTGTGTGTGTGTGTGTGTGTGTGTTTATGTTTTTTTTTTAATTAATTAATTTATTTTTGACTGTTGGGTCTCTGTTGCTGCACGTGGCCTTTCTCTAGTTGTGGTGATCGGGGGCTAGTCTTCATTGCGGTGCAGGGGCTTCTCGTTGCCATGGCTTCTCTTGTGGAGCGTGGGCTCTAAGCGTGTGGGCTTCAGTAGTTGTGGCACGTGGGCTCAGTAGTTGTGGCTCATGGGCTCTAGAGTGCAGGCTCAGTAGTTGTGGCTCATGGGCTTTGTTGCTCTGCGGCATGTGGGATCTTCCTGGACCAGGACTTGAACCCATGTTCCCTGCATTGGCAGGTGGCTTCTTAACCACTGAGCCACGAGCGAAGCCCGGGCAGATATATTAACCAGGCCTCTTGATTATCCCAAGGGCTAGACGAATGCAGTGAATTACTTCATTGCATAAAACAGAAATTAAAACATATCATTCTTGTAGAGAATTGCTTTTATTCTGTACCTGTCATAAATTCTTTTTATGTAAACATCTATGTGGTTTTAACCTCTTTTAATTGATGACTCCACTGATTTTGATCTTTTAGTTCAGGCATTCTATTCCAAGTAGCCTTTATTTTTCGTCCTCCAGTCACTTTTTACATATTCTTAACTATTGTGGTCTTCTTAAAGACTACAACAGATTATTTGGAGCCCTTTAAGAAAATCCTCAGCTGGGACTTCCGTGGTGGTGCAGTGGTTAGGAATCCACCTGCCAATGCAGGGGACATGGGTTCGAGCCCTGATCTGGGAAGATCCCACATGCTGTGGAGCAACTAAGCCCGCGTGCCACAACTACTGAAGCCCACGTGCCTAGAGCCCGTGCTCCACAACAAGAGAAGCCACTGCAATGAGAAACCCGTGCACCACAATGAAGAGTAGCCCCTGCTCGCCACAACTAGAGAAAGCCTGTGCGCAGCAGTGAAGACCCAACGCAGCCAAAAAAAAAGAAAATCATCAGCCAGAAGTCGCCTGGGAGAAGAGACCTTGTCCAATCCTAGGCTCTCACAAAAGATCACTGTTAAGCAACAAATGAAGATATTTACTGACCTATTGTTTACTGTCCTTTAGTTACGTTAGTGCCTGAAATTCAGGAGTAGCAAATTCAGATGTCCCCAGTTTCCCCTGATTAATCAGTGAAGCAAGCCAGATGGACAATAAAGGTGGGGGATTGTTC